AGTTGTATGAGCCCCTAATAAAATGTTACAAAAAAAAAAAAGAATACACAATCACCGTACCCAAAAGAACTAGTCAGCATTCCACCCTTTCAGGAGGTAGCATGCTTTTTTTTAGAACCAGTGGTGCTGAAAGAAGTTCAAGCTGTACTGAAGGCATTAGCTGAAAAAAGGCTTCAGGAATTGATGAAATACCAATTGAAATGTTTCTTTGGATTTGTTTCTCTAAAGTACCCAGACTAACACACAACTCAATGTAAAGAAAAGTAAAATGCCCACATCATGACAAATGGTGAAAAGTTTGAAATTGTCCAGGTTTTGGTCTTGCTTGGATCCACGATCAATGCTCATAGAAGCAGCAGTCAAGAGATCAAAAGATGAATTTCATTAGCTAAATCTACTGTACAAGACGTCTTTAGATTGTTGAAAAGACAGGATGTTACTTTGAGGACTAAGGTGTGTCTAACCCAAGTCATGGTATTTTTCAATGGCCTCATATGCATGTGGAACTTTGGCATTACATAAGACTGAAGAAAAATTGATGCACCTGTGTGACAGTTACATAATTTCCTGTTAACTTGAATGAAGGGGTAGAGTTTAGTCTGTCAATCAGGTCATAGCCAATGAAGCCTCTGTGTGGGCATGGCCTTCTCCTGAGGATTCTGGGAACTCCAGTTTTCGTCCCTGGAGTCAAGATGCACTCTCTCTCTGCCTTCCCTCTTCTGCTGTTGAGACACTCAGAGAGCTGGAGGAGATGTGGACACTCGTGCCAGCATTGAGATGCTTCCACTGCCACTGGATCCACAAGAGCTTCTACCAACTGGCCTGTGATCTTTCTGCATTCCACATCATTGCATGTGCTGCAGGAGTCTCAAGAGGAATTTATGGACTAGTATCAGACTTATGGACTTGATCTGGACTGGGCTGGGTGTTTTCTCAATATACAATTGCTCTTTTACATAAAGCTCTTTCTTATACACGTATGAGTGTCTCTGAATTTGTTTCTCTAGTCAACCTGGAATAGCACAACTTGAATTGCAGTGCTGGAGAAGAATACTGAAAGAATATTGAAGAATACTGAAAGCACCGTGGACTGTTAAAAGGACAAACACATCTGTCTTTGAAGAGGGACGACCTGAGTGCTCCTTGAAGCAAGGAGAGCATGACTTTGTCTTGTATACTTTGGACACGTCAGGAGAGACAGTTCCTTGAAGAAAGTAGTGGGGCATCAAACAAGAGGAAGGCCTTGAAGGAGATGGAGTGACATCGTGGCTGCAACAATGGACTCAAGTCTAGAAACAGTTGTGAAGACGGGAAGGACTGTCTTTCGTTCTGCTGTGCATAGGGTCACTATGGATTTCAAGTGACAGAATGATAACTTAAAACAAAAACAACCACAATAATAACAGCACATATCAGTTTTCAATGTTTATGCATCTTTACAATCCCACCAACAGTGTATAAGGGTCACAGTATGCCCAGACTCTCTCCAGCATTTTTTTCCTGTTTTTTTAAAAATTGGGCTAACATATTAGTGTAGGCTAGAGAAACAAATCCATGGACACACATATGTGTATAAGAAAGAGCTTTATACACATGAGCAGTTGAATATTGAAAAAACATCCCAGCCCAGTCCAGATCAAGTCCATAAGTCTGATATTAACCCATATGTCTGATACCAATCTATAAAGTCCTTTTCAGACTCAGGTAACACAAGCAATGACGCTGAATGCAGGAAGATCACAGGCCAGTGGGTGCAAAGTCTTGTGGATCCTGTGGCAGTTTAAGCATCTCAGTGCTGGCAGGGGTCTCCATGTGGCTACTCTGGCTAAAGAGGTCTCGCTCCATCAGCCTCTCTCCATGTGTCTTCTCTACAGGGACGTCTTGCGGGGGAGTGAGGAGAGAGAGAGTGTGTGTCTCCTGCCTCCAAGAAGGAATTACAAGCGTTCCCAGAATCCTTAGGAGAAGGCCATGCCCACAGAAGGCCTCGTTGGCTATATCCTGATTGACAGGCTAGACTCCGGCCCCTACACTCTTAATGCTCAAATTGACACCAGATTATGTAACTACTACAGAGAGTGTGTTCAATTATTCCAGCACCATCTGTTGAAAAGGTTTCCCTTTCCCATTTAATGTTTTGGGTTGTTTTCAGTTAACTTGCTTGTTGTTGAAAATCAGTTGTCTGCAGGTGGATGCTTTTACTTCTGTATTTTCTATCCTGTTTCACTGGTTTGTGTATCTACCATTATCCCATTCCTAGGTTGTTTGACTACTGTGGCTATGCACTAGGGTTTGAAGTAGGGTAGTGCAAGACCTCCTACTTTGTTGCTGTTGTTTGATAAATTCTTTGTTTACTGTGTCTTCCCTCTCCACAAGATGTTGGTAATTAATATGTCCCTGTCTTAAAAACATGAAGTTGGGATTTGAATCATAATTCCCGTGTATTTGTAGAATGCTTCAGTGTAGGTAGTGTGGAAGGGGCTTTTCCTCACTGCTGGGTTGTTGAGGTGAGGACAGGCCGCTCTGTCCACCAGGAGGATGTGGGGAGCAAAGGAGGATCCCACCTTCCTTGTCATCAGCCGCTTACCTGTACTTGTGTTGAGCGAGCATAGCTGATGATGGCTGCACTGCGTCAGGTCTGCTATTTACCTGCTTGTTTCCTTTCTTGCTGCTCCAATTTTGTTTGTCTCTCAATCAGATTCAATCCACCTTCCTATTCTTTCTGCTGAAGCTCAGGGTTCCAGGATGAGCATCACATCGGTTTCCTCACTTTCTTTGTAGAGGCTCTGTGTAGTCCATTTGGCTACGCTGCCATCTTGCTAGAAATCTCATAGGTTTTTTTGAGCACTCACTTTTAGAGATTAGATTTTCAGATGTTTCCTTTGTGGCATCAGTAGGTGGACTCTAGCTTCAAATTTCTGTTAGGAGTTGATTGAATTGCTAAATATAACGTTTAATTAAATACATGTTTTTTATGGCTCACATAGTAAGACTAATCTTGCCATGATGACATCCTATTCAGAAGTGCATGCACTTTGTCCACTGAGTTTTAACATTTTCATAATTCTATTTCTAACTTCTAAACATTTAGTTCATCCTTTATGTCTTAGATCTGCAGCGTCTTCTTTTTTCAGCTTTGCATACTTTGTACATGATGCCAAGGTTTTATTTCCATAAACTCACCGGATTCTCAGATCTGAAGTCTGAGCAGATCTGTTTTGTTTCTGTGATTTCTGTTGTTTTTCATTCATACTCGAGTTATCTTATTTCCTAGGATGTCATGAATCGTGATGTTCTTGGGCTTTGAAAAACTGTGTGTGAAGTTTCCTGAGCTATTAGAATGGACGTGCCTTCCTTCAGAGGGGCTTCCCTTTATTGGCCCTTCCAATTTTAAGATCAGAGAGTTCCAAACACACCTAGGCCAGGCGTATTTGGTGTTAGTAATCTTTAAAGTAGTGGTTCTCAACCTTCCTAATGCCGCCACCCTTTAACACAGTTCCTCCTGTTGTGCTGACCTCCAAACATAAAATTATTTTCCTTGCTACTTCACAACTGTAATTTTGCTACTGCTATGAATCAGGCTAACCCTGTGAAAGGGTCATTCTACCACCAAAGGGGTCGCTACCCACAGGTTGAGAACTGCTGGTTTAAAGGGTTAATTTTCAGTCTCAGCTTCAAAAGGAAATGCTGTTTTTCTTTTCCTGTCCATTTTTACAATGAACATTGAGCCTTCTTATCAGTTCCCAAGTGATGTGAGAATGATAAATCACTTTCCGTATGGATGACGCTTCCTTTGATATTGGCTGTCTCCTAGGCCTTCCTTCGACAGAGGGTTTCCGAGGACAATCCACCTAGGCCATTGACGTTCCTGTCTTCCATTTCCTTGGCCCTTTTATATCTTGGAACTTATTCTCAATTGTTTGCAGTGACTTTAAAAGGTCCTTTAGGGTAGAAGTTTCTAAAGGACTCAGACATTGTGTAGCTACATATATTTTTTTCTTCTTCTTAAAAAAATCATTTTATTGGGGCTTCATACATCTCTTATCATAATCCATCCATCCATTGTGTCAAGGTTCTTTCTCAAAACGTTTTCTTTCTACCTGGGCCCTTGCTATCAGCTCCTCATTTTTCCCCTCCCTCCGCGCCCCCTCCGTTACAAACCCTTGATAATTTATAAATTATTATTGTTGTTTTGTCATATCTAACACTGTCTGATGTCTCCTTTCACCCACTTTTCTATTGTCCACCCCCCAGGAAGGAGGTTATATGTAGATCCTTGTGATTGGTCCCTGGCCCCTCCCTCCACCCTCCCGGTATCGCCACTCTCACCACTGGTCCTGAGGGGTTAATATGCCCTGGATTCCCTGTGGTTCCAGTTCCTATCTGTACCAGTGTGCATCCTCTAGTGTAGCCGGATTTGTAAGGTAGAATTGGGGTCATTATAGTGGTGGGGAGGAAGCATTCAAGAACTAGAGGAAAGTTGAATGTTTCATTGTTGCTACACTGCACCCTGGCTGGCTCATTTCCTCCCCAGGACCTTTCTGCAAGGGGATGTCCAGTTGCTTACTGATGGGCTTTGTGTTCCCAATATGCACTCCCCCTCATTCATAATGATATGATTTTTTTGTTCTTTGATACCTGATCCCTTCTACATCTCATGATCACACAGGCTGGTGTGCTTCTTCCATGTGGACTTTATTGCTTCTGAGCTAGATGGCTGCTTGTTTATCTTCAAGCCTTTAAGACCCCAGATGCTATATCTTCTGATAGCTGAGCACTATCAGCTTTTTCCACCGCATTTGCTTATGCACTCGCTTTGTCTTCAGTGATCGTATCGGAAAGGGGAGCATCATGGAATGCCAGTTTAAAAGAGCAAAATGTTCTTGCATTGAGGGAGTACTTGAGTGGAGACCCAATATCCGTGTGTAGCTATATATTTTTATCAGAATTGTGATAAAGTTCATCGCACCCTTCCCTTGTTTTTTCCCCCCCATAGCATTTAAAAAATTTAGTATTTCACCAGCTTTGTTGATCTGAGAAGATAGTCCATCATTTACAGAAAGTGAATCCATCTGAAAATATTTTTGACGTTAAGTAGAAGCTTTCAGTGAGATCATTTAGCTCTGTGTCCTTTAAGACTTCAAAGTTGATGTTAGGGCTTCTAAGCGGACTTTCTTATCATTTCTACTCAAAATTATTCGCTCTGATGACGTTTTGAATCTTGATTTACATGGGTTACTTTCACAACCCGTTGCCCCTGCAGTTTGCTGTCACGCTCTCTAGTTAGTTTGCATAGGGGTCTACGTCCAGAGCGGCTTCTCAGACGTTGTGACGTTATAAACGTCATTTGGGTTTCAGTAGTGGGTGAAGGGAGACGTCGGACAGGGTAAGATATGACAAAATAATAATTTATAAATTATCAAGGGCTCATGAGGGAGGGGGGAGCAGGGAGGTAGGGAAAAATGAGGACTTAATGCCGGGGGCTTAAGTGGAGAGGAAATATTTTGAGAATGATGAGAACAATGAATGCATAAATGTCCTTTACACAATTGATGTATGTATGGATTGTGATAAGAGTTGTATGAGCGCCTAATAAAACAATTAAAAAGAAGATCAGATATCAGGCTTCAAAGAACAAAAAAATCATATCATTGTGAATGAGGAGGGTTGTGGAGTAGGGACCTAAAGCCCATCTGTAGGCAACTGAACATCCCTTATGGAAGGGTTGTGGGGAGGAGATGAGCCAGTCGGGGTGCAGTGTAGCAACAAGGAAACATACAAGTTTCCTCTAGTCCCTAAATGCTTCCGCCGCCCCCACCCCCCACTATCATGATCCCAATTCTACCTTACAAATCCAGCTAGACCAGACGTTGTACACTGGTACAGATAGGAACTGGAAACACAGGGAATCCAGGATGGATGAACCCTTCAGGACCAGTGGTGAGAGTGGCAATACTGGGAGGGTGGAGGGAGGGTGGGTTGGAAAGGGGGAACCGATTACAAGGATCTACATATAACCTCATCCCTGGGGGACGGACAACAGAAAAGTGGGTCAAGAGAGATGTCTGACAGTGTAAGATATGACAAAATAATAATTTATAAATTATCAAGGGTTCATGAGGGAGGGGGGAACAGGGAAGGGAGGGGGAAAATGAGGACCTGATGCCAAGGGCTTAAGCAGAGAGCAAATGTTTTGAGAATGATGAGGGCAATGAATGTACAAATGTGTTTTACATAATTGATATATGTATGGATTATGATAAGCCTTGTATGAGACCCCAATAAAATGATTTAAAACATATTGATATTAATGTATTTATGTTATTTATTCATTCAAGATAGCTTCATTGGGTGCTTTCTAGGTGTTATTCACAAAACACATACTTTCAATCTAGTTATAGGAGACAGATAATAAACACATTCATAAACAAAATATTTCCCACGCCATATTGTTAGTGCTATGAGAAATAAAGGACAGCAGGCATAAGAGTTTGCGAGGGTAGCACTTCAAAGTAGAATGGTACATCAATCAGTGATTGCTATAAAAGTAGCCCTGATGGTGTAGTGGGTATGTGTTAGACTGCTAACCGCACGTTCAGCAGTTTGAAACCACCAGCTGCTCCACAGGAGAAAGATAGATTTCTGCTCTGTAAATTGTCACAGCCTTAGAAA